CTTTCTCTGTCCTCCAAGGGCAAGTGGGAAAAGGCTGAAGAACGTGCTGTTTCTTAGTAGTCCAAAAATACTGCTTCAGCTACTTTGGAGCTCAGGCTGGAACAGGAGGCAGGTCGGTACCAGCCTCCATAATGAGGAGGAGGACGGCACCTGCTTCCTAACAAAGGTCGAGAAGAGCACGTTACCTCCTAGCGTAAGCGTTCTTGTACTTGCTGTCAGTGAGATAACAGTTCCCAGGGCTGTTTGCCTGAAGCTAAGCTGGGAGGTTGCACATGCTGTTTATGGTGGAAAATGGAGCACCAGGGGGAAAAAAAAAAAAAAGCCACAGGAAAAGAAAATGAGGCTATAACCCAAGCACAGTGGAAGAAAAGAACAAACAACAACTTTCATAAGCACAGGCTGAGCATTATTTAAGAGAATTTTTCTTTTCACATGTTTCATTTTGCATACATTTGATAAAACAAAACAGATATTAAAAAAAATACTCCACCCAAAGCACTTTGTTCTTAAAAACACACGCTTGTACTATTAAAGGGGTGTGTGTGTACAACATACGGCCAAAGAGAAGAGCATGCTGACTCTAATACTGCCCATGAAGATTTAATTTTATATCCTGCTAGGAAGAAACCAAAAAAAGTTGAAAAGAATGAAATTATTCTGCAGAGGATATGTAGCTCTCCTTAAGAACAGAGGAGAAGGGAGGAGGGTGGCCAAACTGCTAATACAGCACTAAGAAGCTCTTAGGACAGCAATGGCCAAACAAGATTAGCCTAAACAAACTTGAACTGTACATATTTAGACATCTTCATAAATCTTACGTACAAAATAACTACACAAAGCAGCTTGATAATTGTCATTAGCAGTAACTACTCAGGATCTCACTGGGCTCAAACAAGGCTGCTGTTCCAAAAAGCAATTTTGCTTTCACAGTTGCTTACCTGGTGTCTTACCAGCTTTAGTATTTTATTAATGAAATACCTATTTCCAAAGTCTTTAAGACCCATTTCACAAGCCTCACATCCTTCAGTCTGCAATACCAGTATAAGAGCTGCTAAACACCTGATTGCCTCTGCACTTCTTGAGTTCTATCCTGTTCAAGCAACAGGTTTGTTATTTCACTGAAATGTGGCAGCTCTTGTAAAAGGTGCCTTTTAAAACACTTGGTAAAAGATTTGGTATTTTAGCTCTACCATTACTTGGCTATGATTTAACACTTGGGAAAAAAAAATCACTTTAGAACTGAGTGTACAGTTGTACACTAATGGACTAATTGCTGCCTAAAAATCTTGCAAATTAAGCAACATGCAATGCAATAAACACATTTCCTTTACAAACCCTCATGTTCTCCAAAAACAATTTCCTGTTGCTAGGATAAACAATATTGCTACTAATATTATTCACCGGGACTTACTTCAGTCTCGAAATACAGCCCTTTTAAATGCAACTGGGTATTTTCAAGTATGTCATAACTTTCTTCCCTGTTATTTTCTCTTCTTTCTGAACAGGCTCCTTCTCATGGTGATAAAGGCTTTAATGTGTGCACAGGTTTTCTTATTTTCCTCTCCTGAAACATTTTAAACATAGAATCATAGAGTGGTTTGAGTTGGAAGGGACCCTAAAGATCATCTAGTTCCAAATCCCCTCCATGGGCAGGGACACCTTCCACTAGCCCAGGTTGCTCAAAGCCCCATCCAACCTAGCCTTGAACACTTCCAGGGATGGGGCATCCACAACTGCTCTGGGCAACCTGTTCCAGTGCCTCACCATCCTCATAGCGAAGAATTTCTTCCTTATATCTAATTGAAACCTGCCCTCTTTTAGTTTAAAACCGTTACCCCTTGTCCTATCATTACAGGCCCTGCTTAAAAAGTCTGTCCCCACCTTTCTTAGAAGCCCCCTTTAAGTACTGGAAGGCTGCAATAAGGTCTCCTCAGAGCCTTCTCTTCTCCAGGCTGAACAACACCAACTCTCTCAGCCTGTCCTCATAGGAGAGGTGTTGCAGCCCTCTGATCATCTTTGTGACCCTCCTCTGGACCTTCTCCAACAGGTCCATGTCTGTCCTGTGCTGAGGGCTCCAGAGCTGGATGCAGGACTCCAGGTGGGGTCTCACCAGAGCGGAGTAGAGGGGCAGAATCACCTCCCTCGACCTGCTGGCCATGCTGCTTTGGATGCAGCCCAGGATACGGTTCGTTCTTTCTGATATTTTAACAGAATGCAAAAGCAAACTTCTGCCTTCTGAGCCTGCCTTTGCTACAGCCCAGTACAAACACACCTTGTGCTGCCTCGACAGTTGCTTTGACTTCAGGTTTCTGAAGAACAGCTCACTTTGTAATTCTAAAGTCTCTTAACTATGGTTTGAGCATCATAAACTTCTCCAGCCAGTGTTATCACCAAGAAAGTGGGCACTCATCCTTTTTCCAAATTGGCTTCTTCCATCTGTAACAGCTATTCTGCTTCCCCAGTTTTTCTGCTCTCCATAGGAGACATGCTGAAAGCTTTTATTTTCAGGGCTGACTTGAACTGGAGAGCTAGAAAGTGTAGGACTTACCAAGGTCGCTGGTGGATGAGGTGATCGTTCATGTTCCTCTGCTTGAAGAGATTGAGTTGCACATGAGGAGCGTAGGTTAGTCAGACAGGGGCTAAATAAGAAGTCTTTTCACTGACCTAGTAGCCTGTGGAATGAATGCAGCCTTAGAAGCTTCCCCATACTTTCTACTCCACGTAGATGACAGTATTTCTATCTTCGCTTACCTCGCCTCTTTTAAAGACATGGAAAGGGGTATTAGATGGGAGCAGAGTGCAGCATGGAGTAGCGTGGTCCACCACAGATAGCACACTTGAAGCTTCTCTGCTTAAGACAGGAAGCAATGAAGAAAAATTATTTTGCTCATTACTAACCCAGAATGAGAGTAGCTGATATTACAAGTGATGTATGAGGAGTGCTGTTTGTTGCATCACAGGAAGAGACTGAAGATACAGTGAAGCCCTTAACTCATGAACAGAGGCTTGCCTTGCTTCTGCACAGTCTATCACAACCCAAATGATAAACCAACAGAGAAGCCAGTATGTTCACATGCAAACTGTTTGATGGTTATGTGGCATTCGCTATATGAGGGCAGGAACTGATATGGCCTAACAAGAGAGGTTAACAGTTGTTAGAGAAGATAAGATACAATTAGGAGATCTGCAAAATACTGTGTGATTATAGATGTATGAAGATCACAGACTGTGTTGAACTGAAAGACAAACAAAATGATAGCAGGTAGAAGTCAAGCAGGTAAAAGATGCAGATGGAGAGAGATTAGGACAGCCGGCTGAAAAGAAAGGATAATGAGGGCATTGAAAGGCAATGCTAAATTTAGCAAGAGATCGAACTTTCAAACTGTGAACAGATGATCAAAGTTATGCTGTCTTCTGCAGATTTTCACTCAAAGTACAGCACAGAAGACTTTTGATTCTCACAGACAATATACAGAGTCTTAAAATATATCTCAAAACATGCTTTAAGACACTGTGCCTAAGGTCTTCCCACACAGAAACACACTGCTAACTCTTGATCTAAATTAAATCTGACATTTCCAAGGTGTATTTTCAATGTAGAACAAACTAAGGTTAGAAGCATGTCAGGATTTTCTTTCTTTTCTCATAGCTCTTTAAAAAAAATAATGATTTATTGTATTACAAATCCTGATATTGCAACTTATGTGATCACTACAAAACATGTTTTCTATTTTGTGTTTCTCCTCACCACGGAATCCATGGTGGAACTTCTCACACAAGCTACCACACCGCTGCTCACACTGCTTCAGCGTGTAAGGGATGTTAATTGCTGAGACTCATTTCTCTGACCTACATTTGAAGCTGACTCATTCTGCAGAGAGCCAGCTGCAAAAGTAGCACCCCATTTTTCAACACCAGAATTACTGCAAAAAAAAAAAAAAAAATCAACTTTTAGAGAAATCATCTGTATCCAGTTATATGTTACTATCATGCAAGAAATTCAAGTTTTAATAAAAGGGTGGTTACCAAAAGACATGGCAGCTTCTAAATATACTGTGCAGGAAACAATTACAGAAGTAAGCTTCTAATACTCTATGTCGATAGAGATAACACACACATACAAACTAAGAGACAGAAAGACAGAAAATATGCAGTACAAAAATTTTATTGACATGAGTTTGGGATGACTGTTTTACATATAAAGATGAAACATTAGGAAAGAGTTAGATGATCCTTTCCTCTTCCAGGCTTGTCTTGTTGCTACTTTGGAAATGATAGGCATGACCATGTTACTGTCCATAGCTCTCAAAACCATCCCCTGGTAGCTGATCAGAAGGCATCTAAGTCTGGTTTCAAGAAAACCGCGCACTTTCCTCTGCCTACCAGATGAGGTATCGAGACAGCAAGCATTTCCACGTCATTACAATTCACAGGTATATAACTGTAACTACCCTAAGGAGAGACTGGGGAAATATTCCCTTCATAGAAACTCTCCCTCGTGGGAACATGATCTACCTCTGTAGTGGGGGGAAAAATGAAAGGACTTAATTTTAACTGCAACTCAAGTATCATTTCACAGCAATTACATCTTAAATCCACAATAGAAATTGATAATTACATAGTAACTCATGTTATCGCTACTACATTATCTCTGATAATACTGTAGTTAAGCTTGTGCTCAAATTCCTTTTCAGTAAAATCTGTTTCTGTAAAACGCTATTATTTCTCGGATACTTTTAAAACACTAATGAAGTATATAAAAGTTTTTAGAGTATACAAGAAAAACTAAGTTAATAAATGATCACATTTTCTTCAATTCTATCAAAGAATAAGAGTCTGAGAAAAAATAATTTTTATTGCATTTTAATTTCTCAATCTCTTTCCTTTTTTAAAAGATAAAAATTATAACGGAAATTCATGACATTCTAGATGAAGAGAAGCTTGGGAGAAACAAAATCACAATTCAGCAGGCAGATGATGGGGAAATCAAAGTATTTAATATGGCTTGTAGCTGAAAGTAATTGATCTGCATTTCCAATCATTTTAGTTATTGCCACATTCCATTAATTTTTCATAAAGTGAAGATAAAAACATGTCTTTAAAATGCATGTACAATAGCTTTAAGCCATTGTTGTACATACTGTGCAACTCATCTGAATGCGGTTTAACACGTGAACCTAATAGAATATATTTATGTACAGTATATACACAAACAGAATCCTGTGGTAATACCCCTGAATATTATCATTTAAACGAGTAATTTTCATAATAAAAGAAGAAAAAAAACCTATGAAGGTGGCAAAACTGCCCATTTCTGAAGTTTAGATCAATATAATTTCCAGCTGATTTACATAGAAATAAAACTGTGGTCCTGTACAAACTTTACATTACAGGGAAACAGTTTATTTTTAAAAAATATTTACATACTTGAATACTTGGTTCTTTGCAATAGAGATTATATGAACACAGAAAATGGTATGGTAGGCAGGTTTATTTATTAGATTTTTCTATTTGTTCTTTTTTGTGCAAATTCCAAATCTCTCTTTTTGTGTTATTATCTGCCTCTATTTGCCTTGTATTACTGCTGCTGCTTTTTTTAGTATTCTGAGAAGGCTGGGTGATTTTACTTCTAGGAACAGGAAGAAAAGATTTAACTCTTGAAACACCCAACTCTGTCTTTGATTTACTGTTGCTGCTTTCCACAGTTTGACTGCTGCTGAGAGGACGCATTCCATCCTACGAATAAAGAAAAGCATTTTGTGTATAAGTAATTATTGCTGTTTGAACTGAAAAACAACCAACCAACCCTACCAGCCCCATGGAACCCTTGTTATTTACAATCATCTCCTGCAGTTTAATGTGACAGTTTCTTACTACTTGGTGAACAAACTATGGCTCTTTTTTGCTGCTTTGACTGAAACTAAATATCATTGACATCTTTGAATACCAAAATAAGTCAATAGGGCTTTTGCATTGCCATTGAAAAAAAGCTTAAACTTGATTCTCAGAGGTCTCAGTTCAGGAGTACCCAAACAAAAAAAATACATTTTCTTTCATGACTGTGGAAAAATGACAGCTGCAGCCACAGCTAAAAGGGAAAAATCAAAATTTAGGTAGTTATGAGCAAAGATTTCAGCTTTACAGCTTGAATACAGATATTCCCTTTTTTTGTACCATCAAGGCCATAAATAATAATAATAATAAAATAATCAGGACAAAAATAATACTTCAAGAACATAAACTGAAATGCTAGTTACATTTTAATCCATAATCTTATAGATTGCTTTCTCATAAATTAGATTTTAGCATCTCAAATTGCTTCTGCTAAAAAGCTACATTTGTAAAAACTGGATCATATTCACTGCGCCCAAATTTAGATACCGGAAGTGCCAAAGTCAGGTATCTTGTCACTTTTTGTTCCTTTATAGTCAAGGAGAAAGAGTTTAGTTAAGCCATTTTATGCTGGTCACTAACATATGTATTTCATGAGAGATGCCTATCTTTCCACTGACAGAAAAGGAGAATTAGGACCTTAACTATTAGCATCAGTTGAATCCAGATCACCCTCTACGAAGCAGTATTAAAAAGTTAATTTTCACCATCAGCTACTGCTCTTCATGTAAAGGTTGGTGGCATGAAAACAGACTATTCATCACTGTCTATTCCTTATTAATCCTTGATGCCATCAATTTGTTTGCATCCTGGATCAAAGATTTTGCATCTCTTAACAGTTTTCTCCTTCTCATACTTGAAAGCATTTTTTCTTCCAGCCAACAAAATAAATTAATTATAAGTATGTTGCCCTTTTAAGTAATTTGTCTCATTACTGTTGATAAGATCTCCTCTGCTCATGCAGTATTGCTTTTGTTACCTACAGAATTCTACTTACTTTAGGAAAAGGATGCTTTTCTTATCTCAAACTCTTTTTCAGGCACAGTTCTTGCAGCTGCATAGGTTTATCATTATTACAATTGCCTCTAGAAGTTTGACTTCTGCTTCCAAACTGAGACTGTGCTCTTCTATATTTTTAATAAAATTGTTGTAGCAATGACTAAATCCAGAAACAAAGCTTGTTTCTATTAGATTTCTTTCCCCTCTAGTAAAAGGTTGGGTTGTGTTTCCTTCATTTTGGCCAAGATTTCTTCACAAAGATACGGGAAATCCATTTTTTTTTATTCTGTATGAAATCTTTTGACTAAGTTCTTCAAAAAACACAAAGGTAGCTAAGTTGGTTTACCTCCAGAGTCAATATAGTTATGCCTTACATTGTCAGAAGGAATTTTAAAAGGAAAAAAAAAAATCACTAGGAAAAATTTATAGTAGGAATGAGCAGGTCAGCTGACTTACCAAATTTTCCAGGCATCACTACTATGTGAAGCTCTGATTTGGAATGTCTGAAATTAATGTGTTTAGAGAAATTTTCAAAAGCAGTATATCTAAATGTGGATCTGCAATGTTAAAATTGTTTCTGTTCAGCAGAGATTGTTCTCTGGATTTTAAGTAAAATTACAGAAAATATTCTAACATTTTGAATATTTTGATGTTGAGGGAACATTGACTGCCTAGCAAGGGAACATAGGCAACCGATTCTGCCCTGGCTAAGGTTGAGCCATGTGCTCAGAAGCTCTCTTGATGCTAAAAAATGCAAGGAGCAATAAGAAAAGGGAAAAAAATGTAACAACAGAGAAAGCATCATTTTTACTTTGTTATCCAATGAATGAAAACTAATCAGGATATAATTTCATTTTCATATTTAATAGGGAAGTTAGGATCCACAATGATTTCAATTTCTGGAAAGAAGAAGAAGAGATAGTGGACCTACAATATCTTTCAGTAGTATTCAGCTTATCTTCCCACTCAAACTGCTTTGAAACCAGTAAAGTTTATTTGCATTTAGACATCTTTTCCCAGAATCACAAAACTTATAACACAGGGGCTTTTTTGATTTCTCATAAATAATATGGCATTACAACAAATAGCTAGGTAGAAAAAAGAAACTGAATCTCTTAAAAAAAAGAACAAAATGCTATTCCCCACAAACTCTGTTAATGTCATGTCTTCTCAAAATTTCTACCACTGAGAGCCTTGACACCAGAGCAGCTCAATTCTACTTAGATAATAACACTTAGGAAAACAGTAGTTTGAAATCGTATATATTTGAGTAATCACTAAAAAAAATAGGAGCAAAAATAAACCATGAGCCAGTGATTTTTACATCAAGAATTTTTAAAAGTTTTGTGCTTTTGCAAACTTACTGAATACCACTAATTGGGGAAAAAAAAAAAGAACCCGGGGCTTTTATTTCTCTCGAAATCTGATGCAAATAACTCCCAATGTCAAAGTAATGTTAACAATACTTGGCCTAGGGAGATGGCTTTATGTAAACATGAAAACTGAAGCAAATACATCCATTGTTTAATAAATCTTTAGTTTCCATTAAGACACATGGAAGAAACTTGGCATGGTATGTCTAGCAAGTTTCCTAAGAATCAGGAGAGTTTATTCTTGTAATAAACAGGGCACTGGAACATTAATCCTTTGGATCCAATCAGGAATTGAGATTTTGGAGAAACTCGAGACACCTTCCCTCTCCTACAAAATTTGTTTCACCTACCTTTTGTGCTGTTGTTTTACTTGCGTTAGTACCACTTGCTGAAAATACAGAATTGTTCTGAGAGTTATTGAACATCAATAGCTCATGCTTAGAATCTGCAATCTAAAAAAGATAAGAAAATGGTGATTTTTTAAAAGTATTCATAGCAGATGTTTCAATTTGCCAAATTTTGGAGACTTGATTTTTTTTTTCCCATGTAGTTTCTGTGCAATGCAATGCATAAATTTCCAAAGAATGATTAAAATATCTTTCCTTTGCTCTTGAGTGCATTTGTAGGAGATGGGAGAGAGAGATTTCACATCAACTATTATCAGAGGAAGATTAAACATACATTTCCAGAGCAATACTATTCAGTGGATCTTAAGGGCAGTTTCCCATTGAATTTTATCCAGCCCCAGGAACATCACAGAAAGGAATAATCCTTTTCTCTTCCTCCCGCCGTGTTTCTTCCCTACTGTTTTCCACCAAACCTTGTGACCATGCAATAGCAGATAGAGTCTGATCAGCCTTTTGACCTCACTGAAAGCTAGGTATTTTATCCTGGGGCAAGCTGATCTGATTCAACTCCGCAAGCGCAAAGGTACTCAATCCCAACATAACAGAGGCAGCAGGAGCATATTTGAGTGAAAGGGCAATTTAGAGAGTAGAAGTACTTATTCTGATGGCAGCCTGAAATTACATCACACAAAGAAAACACACAACAGCACCCTCACTTCTGTAAGGCTCTACTAGGCAGCTAGGGAATCAACAACAGAAATTCCAGCCATGGATGGTTCCACCCATGGTGAGGAAATTGAACAAAAGACAGTGACATCTATCTCCTTCCTTATCTAATTTTATCATATTTCCTTGAATTGTCAACAACAAGCAATTACATTTTACATGTTATTAAACACAATTTTAAGTTGGTTACCATTGCTTTAAGCACATCCCATTCTTTCAAGGATAGATATGGTAAATCCCAGCTAACTGCCTAGTGATTAGCTTGCCAGCTTGGTGCATTTGACTCATGAAAGTACTGTAAATACTTAAAAAAAAAAACCCCAAACAAAACACCATAATAAAGGATTTCATTAAATAGGTTGAAAAATCTTCCCAAACACAGTATTTCTTTTTTTAATAAAAACTTGGTTGACTACTAAGATTAAACAGAATATCTAATAAAGCAAAACTAATGGTACTGCTGTTCAGGGAGATGATAGAGGATGTAAATATGCAGCCTAAGCGGACAATAGCCTAAGACTGACTCTATCTGAGTTTCAAAAGATATGGAACAGCTGCTCCGGTGTGAACACAGCCTGCTGTCACAACCATCTCCTTCAGCTGTGCTAGGAGGAAAGAAGGAAAAGAATAAATAGCTACAGCTATAGGGAGAGCTGGATGCTTTTGGTGTAGAAGGAAAAATGAGAGAGATCCACAGCTCCCCTCTTTGCTCCAACAGGCCTCCCATAACCACCCACAACCACCCACAACCCATTCCAGCACAGAACTTAGCCCCAAACCTATGAGCCTTCCAAGTACCCTTCACGCTCTTCTGCCACTGTTAAAGAAAAAAGAATTAGGCCAATCCATTCCTTCTTGCTTGGGGCAGCAAAACTGACTTCTGCCTGCACAGCAGAGGAGCTTTGAGCCAGTTCTGTGATGGCTAATGGGGATTACATTAAACAAACCAAATGTGCAATGCATATTAGGAAAAACTTCCTATGTCTTTAAGAATACAGAACAGTTTCTCAGTGGAAGCAATGATAGCATGAAAGATAACAGGGGAAGCAATAATGCATAGAAGGATATTGTCTTAGCCTTCTATGCATTATTGCATAGAATATGCAACTCTATGCATGTTATTATTGCATAGAATATGCAAATTCCATCTATGAACTTATTAATTTCAGCCTCCACTGCAAAAATCTCTACAAGAAAAAATAGTGAAGGTGTAATTTAAAATAATGTGTATTAGACCAGAGCACTTACCCTCAAATGTATAATTTATTAGTCGACTTTGGCTTATTCCCAAATAATTTAATAACCTTCTTCAAGCAGTGTTTGTAAATTAAAAATTTATTTTAAACACATAGCAAACAACTGCATATGGTAATGATGTAAATTATTTAAAAACCTTGTGTTTACCTTGCTTATATCAGGCTCAGATTTGCTGGAACACATACTTTGAAGTTCCTGCACAAGATCTACTTCATCATCAGAACCAAGGGACAGCCTTTGCTCCAGATTTAACGTTTTCAATTGATCCTTCTCTGAAGATCTGGTTTAAAAAAAAACAAAACCAAGCTGAGAGAACAATTAAAGTTAAGCTATGGTACAGAATTTTAAAATAAATATTATACACACCTGGAAAATAGAAATTTCTTTCCAAATGACCTTTAATACCACAAACAAAGAAAATAACATCTAATTCAGTGGCAGCAATAGTTGTCAATAGTTGTTATATCATAATAAATCTTCTTTTTATTCAAATTATTCTCTCCATTCTGAAATTCTAACAAAGGATCCTTCTGCCTACTATCTTCAAAAATTCTCCTCTTTTTAAGATGGAGCAATCAGTTTTACTCCATGGTCCTTTTTGGGCTTTATTCCAAATACTTAAAAAACCCCTGGCATACTGTAAGCATAAATATTCTATGTTTTCTGTGCCTGTGAGTATGGTAGAACCAAGGTTTCAGACTGAAGTAAAGTCTCAAATGCAGTTCCCTCCGGCTAATTTGTACACTTTCTTAGAGAAACTTTGTAACATTTAGACTAAAGTGCATGTACTATACCATTTTGAATTGCCATTCAGTAAGCTGAAAGAGCGAGAGGAGTTTTTAAAATATAATGCCAGGTAAATAAAGCATACAGTTGGCTTTTCATAGCAGAGTAAGTGTTACATAATATTCTTAAGTCATAGACTATTCTGTTACATAAAAAGGCATGTAGTGCTGCAAGGTTTGAATTACAGAAATGGGTTCTAAAATTATATCAAAATACATAAATTTTATTTTTTCTTAGAAATGAAAATTGAAAAGGATTCCTTTCTTCAGATGTAGAACCAAAACATTACCAAATACAAACTCTTCATCTATTCATTATAATGTGCTGGTTTACAACACAATTTTATCATCTTTATTGTTTGCCAAGCATTACAAATACCAGAAATTAAAACTTACTTTGTGTCGAGAGAAGATCTTTTCTTACAGTGTGGTTGCAACATAGTCTTAGATCTTATACCTGCGCAAAAGACAGATTGATTTATTATTGTATTACCATGGGTGTTGATTTCTTCATTCATCTGCGATGAACAGGGAAAATGTGTTCCCATTTACTGGCTAATTATATCAATAGAGTCTGCCAAAGTTCAGAATACGTCCCTTGAAACTGTTGAGCATTAGGGCCACGTGGTACTTATAAAATGGCAAATGGGGCAGGAGTTGCCCAAGTTTTTGTGGAAGACAGAACATGAGGCTTCTATGCGAGGCACTCGAACGACCCTTACTGGTTTTCTCAAAGAGAAATCACTTGTCAACAGGAAAAGATTTACATTTGCTTCATTTAAGTAAAATCAGACAACTTACCCTTACTTGGAATCGGGAACAACATTTGATTCTGATAGTCAGAAATGGAAGGCTACAAAAATTAAATTCACCGTCCCATTTTTAACTTATATTCACAGGTATTAACTGGACTCCAAGAACATTCTCAGGTACAAGATACAGTATCAACCATTCTACTTCAGGTTATGTTCATTTGCTTTCTTAAATCCTCTTAGTGGGATTAGATAAGTTCACAATTCAGAGAACTAGCAAGAAAAATCAGGACATTAAAGTTGCAGTTCAGCAAAAGGAGATTTCTTTCTGAACAAGAGTTGAAAAAATGAATAGCTCAATTTAACATTACAAAGGCATCGGGTATTTCAGTCTTTTATATATGAGATAACTGAGGCTAAAATCTTAACTGTTTCTACAGTGTGTGGGTGCTGAAGCCTCTTTCTCTCTATATCCCTTGCTAACTTTTCTCTCTGAAGGAGTTACCTTTGTTTTCTGAAAGCAAAAGTCAGTCGTTTGATTTTGCCCTCTAGAAGTTTTCCTGTTCGATATTGTATTCGGTTATGATACTCCTAAGTTTTCCTTCTAGAGAGATGTGTACTTTTAGAAGAATGATATGTTGCTTCTGCACATATCCAGATGCTATCCCTGGGTAGTACACCGCTTGTTAGATGGCTTATGATCTTCAGGTGAAAAGACATTTCAAAAGTGTCAGCTACTAATATAACTTTCACATTTATACACATGCATAGACCCAGTCATATAAAGCTTTCTTCATCAAGCAGCATACTGAAAATTATGTGGAAACTTCTTGAAAACTTTATGGTATCCGTGACTGCACAGACTTTTTTACATTTATTTTTGGCAATTAAAGAGAAAATCAAACAAAAATCTTCAATTTAAAACCAAAGTTCTCTTCCTTCCACTACAGGGCTTCTTAGGTTATTATACTCATTTTATCTAATAAGATTGAACAAAGGATGGATGATCTGAGGATGCATGTATTCATTTATTTTTACATGGATTCAGACAACATAAACAACATAAATGACCTGCTGTGCCACCTGGACACCCACGAGTCTATGGGGCCTGATGGGATCCACCCGAGAGTACTGAGAGAGCTGGCGGAGGAGCTTG